ATGTAATTTACTAACAAAATTAACTGTAAACGTTTATATGAGTTCAGCTTCAGTTGGTGATTAGATCACAGCATGTGAGTATCAGGATACTTTAACAAACATGATAATAAAAAATAAACCCCAATAAATTTGAATACTATTCAACTATTGACTGGCCTTATTAGCTGAATGATAATAAGTGATCATTATGATTCCTTTCATCATTAAGTATGGAAGTTTACTTACAAAAATATGAACCATAATGTTATTAGATCATGGTTACAAATAAATCAGTTCGGCTGTCGAGACTGAAGTAGTTCGGTCAGGTGCTGAAACTACGAAACAACCGATCACGGTCACGTTTTTAAACAAACAAGTTCACAAATAAATGCTTACTTTTCTCATTCTTTCAGTCAATCAATTCTAGATATAACACATTCCCTAATATGTTACCATTGATTCGCTAAATATTTTCGATATCTATGGTATTCATCTTGACGAAAACCTAAGCCCCGAAGCAATAAGATAGAAAATTTTACTCTATTTAACTAAAATGAATGTATGTTTATATATTGTCAAAACTATTAATTAAAAATAGATCTAATTATGTCCCAATAATTATATGATGGAAGAGGAATAACAGAGTTAATTATACATAAAACACATTTACTAGTGCTTGGTCATAAATGGGTAGAGAAATGAATATACTTATTTTAGGAACAATTATGTACACGCCTTAAAGAGAAGAATCAGAATAAAAGTTTCAACTGATTTGAAAAGAAAAATGAAACAGGTTTGAAAATAACAAATTGACATTTGTTCACAGGTTGTTGTTGTAATGTGGTTAATATTATTTAGAAATTACTTAAAACCAAAAACAAGGTTGCACGAGCTAGTGCCTATCTGAACTCAGAAATTAAGTGAATAACATGATTGCGTCTAAAAGCAAATGGCACTGGGTTCGAGTTCCTGAGTTAACATGAGTTCTCAGATGCAGGTAGAACCAAACGCGCACCCTAGATTCCACTGCTAGCCACCATCCATCTCCACTTATAATGCTTGTGACTTAAGACAATATCGAGGTAATCCGCACAAGTTAAACATATGCCAACGCGAAACTGATCAATTGCAGTCCTAAACATCAGTGGGAAGATTCAAATAACCAATACAAAAATGAACAAAATCTATATTATTTCTCAAATGATAGAAAACTCATGAGTAATCGTTTAATGTAGACTTTTGCAGTACATAACGACAGAAAATATTAATTTTTTTGTTAATTAACATTGTTTAATCGAATTTAGATCCATTTCTAAAAAAGATCTGAAGTGCAGTTATCCTTGCATAAAAAACGATTTACAGATTGTTATCATTAAAAATTAATAAAGCATTTGAATTTAAATTTTACCGATAAAGATCAACTATCAAAGAACATTCAGCCGGGACATATCTTGAAAACCTCTTGAACTCCTTAGGAAATATTAGTGACGAATAAATTTAAATAAGATGGTGGTTGGAGATAGTCAACAGGAAACCCTGGACCTAGGTTTCGTGCTACTTGGCACTCGTCAGTAAGGTGTACCTGTAATCTCAAAGTAGCTGATGCTCCCTAACGGATCCGATCCCGTGTCACCCAGCTTCACAGTAAGAGACGTTAACACTGAGCTATCCGGGCCGCGACTGACCCCTGTATGACTGCAATTTATTTACAATTGATTGATCACTGGGTGATGATCAATGTCACGGTCAGTAGAATTCGATCTGCACTAAGAAGGATCTGACATACATGAAATTGATCACCACCCAGTGATCAATCAATTGTAGAGAGGAATAAATTGATTATGAAAAACAACACGATTACATGTTTGTTACATCACTTAAGATTTTAAATAAGTGTTACGAACACTAATTATTATTATCAATTTTATAAGCGGCAACATTTAGACGAGAAATTCAAATCTAACTAGAGATACAGTTATTTTTAGGCTTGTAGATATTATCATTAGAGCATCTGTAATCTAGGAGGGGAGAGGTTGAATTTGAGCTCTCTCGGAATATTATGACTCACATTTACAGCACTACAAATAGAGGTAATACTACTTACTTATTTAAACAACATACAATTAACATCTATACAAAATTGAATCTACTAAGTGATAATCAATGTAATTGCTATAATCATTTATGCTGATGAATGCACAACACCACGGTGTCATTATATTTGAAGTTAAGGAACCGTACTAGTTCTTTTATCTAATAAAATCTAGATCGATGGTTCAAAAACGATTAATACTTGCACTATGAGGTAGATAGTATTAACGACTATTTATTTCGTAATGTGTAGTTTCGCAAAACAGCACATAAATTTACCGGTATTGTTATATTAAATAGATTGTATAAGAGATTAGAGTTCCTTTTTCTCTTAAGAAAATTCCTCGAGTAGGGATAGAGAGGAATAAAGATTGAGAGACTATTAGTTGTAAGTTGTAATAAGATAAAGTAACATTTAAATAATAAGGGAAATATTTACACGATTAAAAATAAGAGCAAAAAACACGTATGTGAAAATGAAGGACCAGAAACAAATTTTTACAAACCAATACGTTTTTAGAACTGAATGATTGGAAGTCTGAGAAAAAGCTTAGTCAAAGGTTACAGAAGACCAATTCACATTTCCTACATTTATAATTTAAACTTACTTGTAAAACTATGTAATGAAACTTATTAAATCAAATACGGTAATCTGTATTAGGTTTTGAGGGATATTCAATAGCATTAGTTGCAAATGATGTAACATTTTGCAAGTTGAATGATTTTGTCATACAATATTTGAAAGTACGAACAATGAACACTAGAAACATTTAAATAAGAAATTTATTACTATCTTCAATAGCATAATTGAGGCTTTTATCTATATTCTTAAGTATCGAGTTCAGAAACAGAAATATTAGAGCTTAAAAAATAAATAAATACACTTCATAAACACATAACAGTTAATTACAAACGTGTAATATTATAGTGTATGAAATAGCACAACCCTCATGTGAAATCGCAATTTTTTACTTAATGAGATACTTTTTAATATAGTGATCAATATAAATGAACAATTTTAAATGTTCATTATATGATTATGAAATAATGATATGAAAAAACACAATCAACTCAACAACTTTTGTACGACAGTTTGTGGAGAATTGATAACATGTTACAGTATATCGAACAAATTCAACAGAACATCACGCGGATGGCGTAACTGAGAGTGAATGCATACTTTCGTTAGTTATACTATGCATGCTTAACATTTAAATACAGAATTTTACATTGATGAACATGTACATATTTTGGATTTATTGGGTTTTTTTAGATAGAATAATAGTGTATGTGTAATAGCAGTGCTAGTAATGTAAAAAGGTTTTCTTAAACTAATAAGAATTATTAATCAATAATAAATTATGTGTAGCCTAGCAGTTTCATGAGAGTCCACGTTATGTGGCGAATTTCTTGATAGTTTACTGTAGCAAACATTCTGATCTCAGAGATAAGTGAATCAATAAAAGAAAATTGATCTACAAGTTATGTGAGTTTATGAATAGTTTCACTCTGAAATGATCAGATTAAGTGTTGCAATATATGATTGTTTAGAGTTAAAATTGTTTACTTTTGACAACTTTGGGGGCAATTCTATTGAGTCCAAACCTTTTTTATGTTTTAATCTTTATCTAAAGATCCTTTGGTTGATCTTGATTATCTGAAAGACACTGTGACATTAGTTTTCGCCAATGTAAAGATGTAGGGTCTTTTTGATACCATAAGCTGAAGCTTAAAAATTCTTGGTGTTTTTTTTGCATGATGATGCTTCCAGACTAGCTTGCTTAAGAATAGAAGTGAATGTGCAGACCACGTAGGTTTTTTATGAAGTTGTAGAGCAGCTGATAACTTGACTGCTAATTAATGCTCAGGAGGGATACAGAAATTGTATTAGCACTTGTCAGAAACCTATTTCACTTACGGACCCTGAGAATGATGAAGTTTTCTACTAAGGAGAAAGTGTACTATAGCATTGCTGTTAAAGTTGGAGGTTATGGGTAGATTGCATATGTTCCCCCTACACAGTCTTATCAAAAGATGTTAAACTAACTAAACAATTAATATGGGGGTTAGAAGGAAGGTTTTGCGTAAGGAGAGTGAGTTGACCAATATGGTTATGAAATTATACCAACTAAGGTGAATAATGTGAAGCTACCTATGTATAATCGACAACTATGAGGACATATTCTGCTATCAGAAGTATATTTTGACTGGAAAAATTTAAATACGGAATATAATAATCAAGCAAGCTAATGGTTCAAATCCTGTTGCAATCTAAATTTTCCTGCGACTTCAATCATTGAACCAATGTAAATATGTTTTAAAAAAATAAACATGATATTTATACCTCATACATTTAGGATATAATGATATATGAATATAAATATTTTACGTCATGTTTAGTAGCAACGGGAAATGTTTGATGAATCTCACTAGACTTGTTTCACTTCCTTTAAAATAAACTATCAATTTTTAGATCAAGGAGCTGTGTCTGAATCAAAACAGTTATTTAAAGTGTTTTCTTAAATTGGAATTTAGGTATTGCATTAAGAAATGTAATGAAAACATTATTAGTTTTCCATAGTATACTGAAGAATACATGCATTTCAAAAGAATGTATTACAGAACACTTAAGTGAAATCACAATTAAAAAAAGGAATACGAAATGCATCTATGTTCAATTAGGAATTATTATGGTTGGCTTAGGTGATCTACAAACAGAAACTGCACCAATGCACAACAAATACTACTGATCAATATATGAGTAGTTAGAAAACATTCCCATCAATCCTTACTACACTAATTGAGACATACGTAGGTTGACACGATTAAAAAAAGTGGACGGTTGTTCCGATCAATCTAGATTAACCTCATCGATATATGTTACTATCAACCAAATAATAATATTGATAGAGATGAGTTGAAACACTTACAATGTAATTTCCGAAACCAGTAGATCTGATGACTGATAAGGATTTGACGTCATTCTGACCATTAATATTGGTGTTAGTTGCGGAATTTGAACCGATGTTAATGGAATTATCATGATTTAATTCATTACCAGTTACTCCAGATAAAGAATTAAGATATTCCTCTGATTTACGATCACCTACAATATAATGCAATATGAAAAAATCTATTATAATGAAGAAACAGAAGAAACAGTCATAAAAATAAAAATGACATAAAAGTGGTTATCAATGACAATGTCAAATTTTTTCAATTACTTTTAAATAATAATTTGAAATACATGCTAGTTGACAAACTCAGGTATTTCTGTAAAGACGACGACAAAAATTGAAAAGATATAAAACTTGAACTAAGGAATAAGTAAATATACGACATGTTAATTTAGTATTGACAGAGATTCACACAATAATCAATTAATGCTGATTATTCATTGATCGAAATAAATAAGTATAAATTAGAAATTCCTAATGATAGAGTGATTAAAACGGAAGAAGCATGCTACATAATGTTGTTAATTAATCTTGATTGAGTAGATGGTTTAGATAATCCAGATAGAAATGATGGTGAACTCTTATCACTGTTGTAGTATATATATATATATATATATATATATATATATATATATATTAATTAATTAGTATGTACATAGTGATCTTTATAAACATTATTAAATTACTGACAATATATTTTAATATTGTCTACAGAAAAGTTTTGTACTAGTGTAATTGTACAGTATGAACTTGTATCAGATCATGGTGCATAGTGTCATAATTCAACACAAAGTTCAACAAAACAAAAAAAATGAACTTTAGAAAGTGAAAAAATATGTAAACGTAGTCCAGTAGTTAAGTAGAACTTAATGGCACTTAACCTTGAAACAACTTTTGAAAAAGAGATAATAATACTATTTGGCTCCTCGTATTGATAAGAAGTAGGATTGAAAGTTGGGTTTTTTAACCACAGTCCCTCATGAGTTACGATAATAGAGAACAGTCGTGTAACACTTCTAAATAACTTTCATTTGAGATATCATCATAATACACTCTGAATTTGAGAAAATTGATTCGCATTTCATGTATTGAGATTTTATAATGGGATAAAGATACTCAATTTTGGTTGTTCGCGGATGAGCAGATAAAGTTCACCTCGAAACATATTAATTAAATTCAGTGAAACATGTCAAGTCATACAACGTACCAACGCTATTTAGATTGGAAACTAAATATGAGAGCAAAGTGCATCAAATATAGGTATACTTCCCTTAGCCACAGATTACCATCCATATGTATGCTACATAGAATGTTTGATATCCATGAGCTGTTGATTTTATCATCCAAAAAATAAGGCTTTCTATGCATTCTACCTTTTTCTCAATTTATCTGATCTGGCCAAGCGTTATAGTGGAAATCATGTTTACAAATGCGTATGGCCGATAAGATGTTATAATAGGTCTACACCAAACTAAAGTTAGACGGGTAACATATTGGATGACCCGAATTTTGTTTGTTAGACATATCAAAACATACAACACGAAAGATACTAGTGAAGTGTTAACAGAGATAAAAACTGATGCTTTCAAATATTATATTGAAAATACGCAAAATAGGTAGATATAAGTGTACTGATCTGGTAAAAAATTAATTAGTTGTTACGCACTGAATAATGCTTGTGTATCCCGTTAGCAAGAACTGCCTCAATAGGACAGAAACAACGTATAACGCAAATAACTTAGTTGTGGGTGAATTTAAACTTAATTGTCGCTCTTATATTTAACAGAGACAGTCACAGTCACATGTAATTTGATAAATAACACAAGAATTTGTGTTCACTAGTGTTTAGCCTCGACATAAATTCTCAGTGAATAGTAAAATCCGATCACTTAAAAAGTAAAACAGTCACTATCGATGGGGTTCAATGATTAACACGCTATACTGCAAAGTAGGTGAGAATAGATATGTGGACTATTGGATTCTAACCCAGAGTTCTACGGACATTGTGACTCCAGTAAGATAATCAAGTCCCGAGTTCCATCTCATTGAATCATAGGGGCGAACCATCGGAGCCCCAAAGCAGGATGAAACAGCTATTCGGTACTCCACGGTTTTTAGTGGTTCTCCAGCTGATCAGTCTACATTTACTTTTACCAGTTTCTAGATAACGATACGAATTTCAGTAATTGTTCAAGTATGTACATGTAAATATTACTTTGTTAACATATCATTTATATAATTGCTTAGGCGGAGGAACATTGTATGATTATGTAGAAGAGTGATAATTAGTCACAACAAACAGATCATTGATCTAATGCTTAAGGTGAACAGACTACAGAAAACAAAATTAATGTTCAACAAATTGAGTCATCTTATGAAGCAAAATTATACGCCTGTGTACAAAATACTACACGCAAAAATAAACCTGATCGAAACTTGCTTAAAGGGAAAAAGATTAAAGCATTTACATTTTGTGGTTCATTTACCAATCGATAGATTCGAGGCTATGAGGCTCGTCATTCTATTTATATGCCGTGATAAAAAGATTATTGCTTGCTTTGCTAACAAACTCCTGATACTCATTAGTACTAGAAGACTCTAACCGTTTACCTGCTTTTGAAGTACATGTTTGTACTAGGTTAACATCTTTACAACTAATTTGCTGAAGAAAGCGACAAGAGACTACAAACCTTCTAATGTGGCCCAGATTACGATCATTGGATGCATCTGGTGTAAAAATTAGTATTTATTGTTTTGCATTTGTCTGTATAACCTGAAAAAGAGCAAATGTGTATATATAAACACAAGTGACGGATATAATAAGTACTGACCAGTAAGTGCACAGTGTACATACACACAAAATTTGTACACTTCAACATATATGCAAGTGTGGGTATATGTATAGAATATATGTGGAGTGGAAGCGTAGGAAAGAGATGCCAAAACTTGATTGCTATATACAAAACCAGATGTGTACACTGTCTTATGTATGAAAAGCACCATGCGGTGTTCGAAATAATTTTTTCAAGATTTTATAGATTATTGAGGTGTCTTGGTGAACAATATCGAACAAGATGAACGACAGAAAATAAACAAGGACCAGTATGTACGATAGATATACAATCAGGGTGGTCATTTTTCTTACCACAATTATATTTACACCCCAGAACTTTCATACTATACGAACCATATATATTTGCTACTAGTTTCATTTCGGTAGTTTATTTACAGATTATCTCGCTACTTTTATATTAGTGTCCGTAGTAGTAAGATGGTTTTGATAACGACAGTAAGTTGCTTTATTTCATGAAACAAATAGTTAGAATTAAATAAACATGAAGCAAATACATATTACATTTACTGCCATGATTTTATTCAGGAGTTAAGAATAGACACGTCATATCACATAAAGGTGATATTGTTTAGCTAGTCACACGGTTGTGAAAAATAATTTATGTATGATTTTATGCAGGTAGTATGAAAGCAGACTGATCAATTGAAAAAGCGTAAAACCTGACAGGATTTAAGTTGTCACTCTTTTTAACAACACATGTACGATTTTGTGGTTAACTTTCAACTATCGAGTTAAAGAATAAAATATTATTCCATTTACTTCAGTTTGGCTTATCAAATAGTATCTATAATGATATAACAAGTTTAGTTCACAACTATTACACGAACGTAATTTGCTTATTAAAATGAATTAGTTGATGAATGAAAATTGTAAAACATCCAGTAGAATCATCTGCTAAAAAACGACATTCTTGAATTTAATACTTAACTCTCAGAATGCCTCTGGGTTTCTCTCACAGTAAGTTCAAACTTCATTGCTTGGAGTATTCAACCATTGAATGTTAAATATGATATTTTAGCTATGGTTATGTTATACTAAATGAGTAGACGTAAACGATTTTAATTCATGAATTGCTTTTGTAGTCAAAAGAACAGACATTCATAAATAACGAGATATGATTTATCGAAAATGTTGAATCTCTTATTTAGATTGGATAATGAATTGACCTTTTACAAAAGATACATCAAAGTTACTAGCTGCAAATTCGATTAATCAATTATGTGTATTATATATGAAAAGTGCCATTTGTATTTGCCGGAATAAAGTGCTGAAATTTGATCGTCCATCCACCACTTTTTTCGACGAGTATTGTGAAATAGAAAAGCAGTAAAATAAAAGCAGTCTTAAAGTGGTTAGGAATAAAAGATGAAATAAAGAAATTTACTAACTGTTTTTCCGACATATAGGACTATATAAATGAGACTAGTATTTAATGAAGTACAAGTAGCTGATGGTCGTATTTTTAGCATAACTTGAAAACAACTTTACCATACAATGAGTCTTTAATAGGACTTTCTTCTTTACAATTATCATTCAACATGTCCTTTAAATTTCGCCCTAACCTATACTAATATTCCCATTCCGATGTTGATTTCCTTTTATCTGTTCTATTTCGTGATACATTAACTTCGTTTTATGCATTAAGTTGTCAAGTTCTGCATTGTTTCGGTAAGTAGATAAAAAGCCATATAATTTTAGGGAAACAAGAACAATCATAGCAGAGTAAAATGGCTTCATTTTGTCAATTCTCAGTCACTTACAAACTAAAAACGTTAATAATTAAAAAAGAAAATAAGAATACATACTTTATCATAAAAAGTTTATCTCCATTCCCAAGATCTTTCCAATACATAGTATACATGCTAAGATGTTGGCCTTCCCAATTTTATTCAAAGCTTATCAATTCGTAACCGAAATATTTATATTCCAAAAATATAACCAACTACTTTTCGACCGTCTTATAATGTAAAAAAAACCGGTTGAATATAAACTTATCAAATATATTCAACAAGAAGTACTAAAAATATTAGATAAAATATATACACATGGAGAAATCCCTCCTTTCAGACAGAAGGAAATGGTAATTAGATAAAAATTAATCTGTTTTTCTTGTCCATTTCATCCCCGAATCTCCACTTTGAGCACGATATACATACATATATTTCATCCTAAGATTAATTTTAATAAAATAAGAAAAAGATGTAATCACTAACAAACTGTAAGAAGACAGAAATTTTCCGATGATTAAGAAAACGCCTTTTATCTGGAATCAATAAAGAATTAGCAATAGACACT